ACGAATTGATTAATCACAGTATATAAAGGGGACGAATAAGTTTCATATGTTATTAACCTCAAACAGTGCTGTGACTAATATATGCTGAAATGCGACATAATGATACTTACCTCTCTTCAGAGCTATGCCTTAAACTAACTAATAAAGTCTTCATCAGCCGCACAATGCAATTGTTTTGGCAAATGCAGTTTTTCAGGATGTTAACTCTACTCGAATCTAACAAACGGCTGCGAGAGGCGCGCCCCATGGACCAATGCGAATTCGCATTTGCGCAGATTGTTGGTGGGGCACGCAATTTGAAGAGCTTTGCTCCACTTTGTTAATCTGAGGAAACAATCTTGAAATTTAGAGAGCTTTGTTTCATTCTCCCAATCTGAAAACATGGAATGTGTAGAGTTGATCAAACAAATAAGCTTATACCTTCTGTTGTCTATGTAGTGGTGGCATAAACTTTTTTTTTGAAAAAACTGTAGCAGCCCTTACGTCATTTTCGTATGTTTTCGATGTCTATGTCATAACTTCGGACGGCTTTTCTCGGCAGTTTCGGACAGAGGTAAGAAAAGTAAGCTCGCAAACTTATTTTACATCTCGTGTACAATTTCGTTAAGTTCTCGATTTCTTGCAGAAAAAGAGAGATCTTTTCAATTATGAAGGTAAAAGAGTGTCCCTCTCAAAGAATTTTATATATTTGGTAATTTCAAAACAAAAGGAGATACAACATAAACCTTCGAAAACATGTATTTTTTGTGTTTGTTGGGTGAATCTAGCAACATTTGAGCAAGCATTTATCTTTTTGACAGTTCTTATGTTTATTCATAAGTTGACTTTTAGGGTTGGTGTACATTTTTTGCTCCATCCTATACTTCAAATATTAAGAAAATATATTGGAGTACTGAATTTAATCAGAGAAAGAAACCACGAAGGTAGGTAGTATGAATTTGTATCGTTCCGATAATCAATACATCCTGTCTAAAAGATACAAATCATGATAAGAAACAGCAAGGATGTTTATTATGAAAAGAAGAGTGAAGTGGGTGTGAGGAAAAACAAAGATCAAGCAGAGACATTCCTTTCTCGTTTGCAATAATCAAAACAAACGTATTCTGCCATCACATTCAGTATGTTATGTAGTCACAGAAAGAGGATTGAGAATTTCTCGTCGTCTTTATGACTTCACCGACAGTTGACAGTGGCTTCTAAGCCAATGATCTAAACCTTCAAAGGTTGAGATAGTTAGCTGAGACTGCTGAGCTGAGTTAATTAAGCGTGCAGCTCTCAATGTATTCTTTCAATAACTGTTTCTGTGATGATGCCCAGTACATTTAAGGGAATGTTGACATTAATCTCGTTCTTCAGTTACTGCTAATTGTTCTTCGTGGGGCGCGCAAATTACTTGCCTCTGGCTAACTAGCGTGCAACGTCCTTTCCCGTTTGACCTTCGAGAATTTTTTAGAAGGTCAGATCAGTGTCAAATGCTGGCCTCAATGGCATTCCATTGTTATTTTTGTTAGGGTTGATGATTGTTCTTTTCTTCCTGGGATCTTTAACATCTAGAAAACTATTTGTTAGATGTTACCGGCTCGCATGTTTTGCCTATTTCCAATATTTTGTTTGCTGCCAAGCCTTTCTATCCAGTGACTTAATTTATCTTTCTGCCAACTTTGGGGAACTTTTGAAGTTTAATTCTAATTGAGATGATATTTTATGCGGCTTTTTGAAGAGCAATCACTCTCATAAAAACATGGAGAAAATTTTCGCATATCGAACGTTTGTTAACTCGCCGGAACATCTAAGTTGAACCCTTTGTGCTACAGATTCTTTCTTCTTCTTTTGAAATTTGGCACCTTGATCAAGATATAAATGTACACACTCGTTTTGCTTTAGATTTATTAGCGAAATCTTTAAAATAGAGAAGGATTTAATTATGTTCCACGTAAAGATGATCATTATTAAGATTTTAATAATTTTCCACGTAAAGATGATTATTATTAAACTTCACAGTGAGAATAACGTTCTATTTTACATGATGCATAACTACTCGGAATTGGTTGGCCGCAGACAAAAAGTTCCCAAATCCTTCACCCTTCATTGTTGCATTTAAACCAGTCCGTATACTGTGCTTCATACTCCTCTGGATTCAGATCCTCTGGTAATTCTGGGTCTTTCAGTCGGCATATCCCGCAGAAGTTAAGGATATCAGGGTCAACACTAATGGGCGCTTGCTCTTCTTTACTCTCTAGAGCTCTTCGCTTTTTCTGCTCTCCGCGCTGCAACTAATTCATTAAAATTTAGCTGATTAATCAGTAAACTTACTGTTTCTACATGGATAGTCCT